ACCAATCGTCAGCGCCGTGTTCGAAGTTAAATATCGGGCATTCTAGAGGGTTTAAACAATGGAGAAAATAGAACATGGTTTATTTTGGTGCTGGTGTTCTAGTCAGGCATGATGTAGTCTCAGTGTTATCAGTTAAATTTTTGGTAATTTTTATTCTTGGTAATGATGTTAGATACATCGAAACGTCAAATTACGTTACTCCTCATATTTCTTGTTAAATGCTTTAACAAGCAACTGACCATTCAATTTTTCAGCTATCAGTTTAAACTTCAGCCTTTTTCTTAGCAATCAGTATATTGTGCAGGTCTTGGATCTTAGCTTTCGCTTAAAAAGCGCATCATTTCTTAGTGGACGGTTAAAAGTTTGTCTAATTCTTAGATATGTATAAATCCCATTCGAAACCTCCAGTAGCTTTCGACCCCGCAGAATTATATGAAACCTAGTTCTCATATCCGGCCGATCTATCTGCGACGTAGTCGCCGGTTGTAACTGACAACGTTCGGCGATCTGTCCCAGTGGGTCCCCGGCGCATCTGCGATGGATCGCCGACGTACTCAAATTTGCGCGAAATGCAAATCGAATTGCGCATGTTTGAACCATTTTACCCGTAAATGTGGATCGAAATGTCTTACTGGAGTACGTTGCGTCCGCAGATGATGTTCACACAAAATATTTTCATCGCCGACAACCGCCGACAACCGCCGGCTTGCCTGCGAAGTTAAACTCAGCTCAACTTCACGGGCAAGCCGGCGGTCAATGCCTGGGACAGATTATGATTCGGCGATAAATGTTCACATATGCCGTAACGGTGTCCCAGGCCGTGCCGGTGGCTATGTCCCAGGTATGTAGGCGGCATATGAGAACCAGGCTTTATTCCACTAAGGAATATCCTTAGGAGTCAAAATCTTATTCGGATCCCTCTCGAAATTTTGGCTCTCAGCACTGAAACACAACCGATGAGTATAGAGTTTCACATCCATGTTGTTTGTGTTGTCCGGACTAGAACAAGATGATCTATCATTCAGATTGAGTTTCGTCGATTTGCCATTCAGATCCAAATTCAAATCGACGGAGTTCCAATTTCACTGTAACCGGTTTAAACAATTCATCAAAAAGGGATTCGAAAGTTAAGTTTATTTTTCTGTCACAAGTTACGTTTGTCGTATTTACCTTTCTTCATGAATACTGTAGATCTAGAAGTACAAACCGTGTGGANCAGTTTCCTTGGTGACCAGTATTCGAAGACGCTCCAAATATGGGCTGATGAGCGAACGCACTGCCTTGTTTGGACCAATCGTCAGCGCCGTGTTCGAAGTTAAATATCGGGCATTCTAGAAGGTTTAAACAATGGAGAAAATAGAACATGGGTTATTTTGGTGCTGGTGTTCTAGTCAGGCATGATGTAGTCTCAACGTTATCAGTTAAATGTTTGGTAATTTTTATTCTTGATAATGATGTTAGATACATAGAAACGTCAAATTACGTTACTCCTTATATTTCTTGTTAAATGCTTTAACAAGCAACTGACCATTCAATTTTTCAGCTATCAGTTTACACTTCAGCCTTTTTCTTAGCAATCAGTATATTGTCAGGGTCTTGGATCTTAGCTTTCGGTTAAAAAGCGAATCATTTCTTAGTGGACGGTTAAAATTTTGTCTAATTCTTAGATATGTATCAATTAAATCCCATTCGAAACCTCCAGTAGCTTTCGACCCCGCAGAATTATAATATTCCACCAAGGAATATCCTTAGGAGTCAAAATCTTATTCGGATCCCGGTTAAAAATTTTGGCTCTCAGAACTGAACATCCACGTTGTTTGTGTTGTCCGGACTACAACAAGATGATCTATCATTCAGATTGAGTTTCGTCGATTTGTCATTCAGATCCAAATTCAAATCGACGGAGTTCCAATTTCGCTGTAACCGGTTTAAACAATTCATCCATAAGGGAATCGAAAGTTAAGTTTATTTTTCTGACACAAGTTACGTTTGTCGTATTTACCTTTCTTCATGAATACTGTAGATCTAGAAGTACAAACCGTGTGGAACTCACTTCCTGCCGAAGTGATAGACCAACCCTACATGTAATTGCAACTTTGTGATACGCTTCTACCGGATATCAGCCGCGTTTGACCGAACTAAAGCTTCGTCATTTGGCGAGACTCCGATAAGCCATGGTGAGACGAAACAA